CTCAGGTCAGCAGCAAATAGTTTTAGACACACATGCACACACACACACACACACACACACACACGCGCACAATATCTATGTTTCATTAAAAATGCCTTTTGTGAAGTGGAATTAGTCATGTAAGTTCATGCGGATGGAAGTAAAAACCATGTGAAGTGGGTGCAGGATGAGCTTTTGTGACAAAGCTGCCGCCCTCGTTTGCGTAATTATCAGGCCGGACTCATCATGGCAGCACGGGCAGAGAGAGGCGGGTTCGAGGAGGTCAGCATTCACAGACAATATCTCGCCCACAGGTCCAGAGTACGTCATGGATGCCTCACCAACAATATGTTATGCAACCAACTGTAAGTACATGTGTGTCTGTGCGTATGTGTGTGTGTGTGTCTGTTTGTGTGTGTCTGAGTGTGTCTGTGTGTGTGTGTGTGTCTGTTTGTGTGTGTGTGTCTGTTTGTGTGTGTCTGAGTGTGTCTGTGTCTGTGTGTGTCTGTGTGTGTCTGTGTGTGTGTCTGTGTGTGTCTGTGTGTGTGTCTGTTTGTGTGTGTGTCTGTGTGTGTCTGTGCGTGTGTGTGTCTGTGCGTGTGTGTGTCTGTGTGTGTGTGTGTGTCTGTTTGTGTGTGTGTGTGTGTGTGTCAGTGTGTGTCTGTGTCTGTGTGTGTGTGTGTGTGTGTGCGTACTTTTGTAATCATTATATTTTGGGGCCCAGATAAAAACGTGTAACTTTTTTACCTTGTCAGGGCATCTTTTTGCCATTGGCAAATTCTGTAGCTGCAATCGAAAAACTAAAATTACCAAAAGTCTTGTTTTTTGTTAAGGTTACTTATGGTTAAGGTTATGGCTGGGTAGGGGTTTAGGTTGTCATTGTTGGGATTTAGTTTTAGAAGTGAATGGAGAGTCCCCATAGAGATATAATTACAAACCTGTGTGTGTAAAATGACCTGTCGTTCTCTTAGCCATCTGTGGAGACCCAGCAAACACTATACACTGTAGCACATACCACACTGCTTACCTACTCAGCCATAAATCTTCTGCAACTTTCATTGCTTCTAGTTTTTCTTGTTTACTCCATCTTTGATGGTGTAGGTCTTCCACCCCTTCTGCCATATTCCCATCCATCCATTTTCTGAAACCATTTGTTGTATTCAGGGCCGCAGGGGGTCTGGAGCCTATCTTGGATACTATGGGTACAAGACAGGGAACAACCCAGCATGGGCCGACACTCACACACCATTCGCTCACACACGCACACCTACAGTATGGCCAATCAACTCCAGTTAAGCTCAGCATGTTTTTGGACTGTGGGGGGGAAACCAGAGTACAGAGGAAACCCCACGACGATATGGGGAGAACATGCAAACTCCACACACGGAATCCCGGCAGAGACTCAAACCCCGGTCCCAGAGGTGTGAGGCAACAGTGCTAACCACTGCACCTCCATGCTGCCCCTCTGCCATTTTTAACAATCACTATTTTTCTATTCTCTAACCACCATACCACCAGCGGTACTCCACCAGTATTACTCTACCAACAGTACTCTTCCAGTGTTATTATACCACCTTTACTCTACCAGTGTTACAATACTAGTATTACTATTCCAACAGTACTGTACCATTGATATTATACCACCAAAACTCTACCAGTGTTACTATACCAGCAGTACTGTACCATTGATATTATACCACCAAAACTCTACCAGTGTTACTATACCAGCAGTACTCTACCAGCTGCCTGGTCCCTTCTCTCATGTCTCCCTGGGAGAGTCCAGTTCAGACCACCTGGTTCCCATCAGACTGCAGAGTATGTTGGAATAGTTCCGCAGTACTTTCCACGCTGATCGCGTTTCTGCCCTGTAGAGCCGAGGGCTCTGCCTGTTAGCAGAATCTCAGAAGGCAAGTGGCGTGGGGGTGAGAGCTGTTCATGGAATCCAAAACAAACTTTGGCCACCAAGCGAACTGTTTCAAAAGGTAAACTGTAGGGACAGCCAATCATGCGGCGCGCACATTTCCAGCAGGCTGTGAATCATGCCTGTTACTCTGAGAACACTGTCAGTCTCATTTAGCTGTTCCTACAGCCTTTCAGGAAGTAGTTAGAGAAACATATGAAAGCAAAATGTAAACATGGAATAAATGATTTTCTTTTGAAATGGTCATCAGTAATGATCTTTGCAGATTGTCCTTAGACATGGTCATCTGTGACGGTCTTTGCTGATTGTCCTTATATGTGGTCATCAGTGATGGTCTTTGCTGATTGTCCTTTGATGTATTCTTCAGTGATTGTCTGTGCTGATTGTCCTTGCACGTGGTCTTCAGTGATAGTCTTTGATGATTGTCCTTTGATGTATTCTTCAGTGATGGTCTGTGCTGATTGTCCTTACACCTGGTCTTCAGTGATAGTCTTTGATGATTGTTCTGAGATGTGTTTGTCAGTGATGGTCTGTGCTGATTGTCCTTAGACATGGTCTTCAGTGATGGTCTTTAATGATTGTCCTTAGATGTGGCATCAGAATGAGACTCAGAGTACAGAGATGCCACTGAGTAAACATATTTAGGTAGCGGCAGGATAGTTCATGATTACCTGCTCAGGCAAAGACTTTCAAATCGTCCAGTAACTGCTATTTTCATATTTCCATTATGGAAACAATGAGTTTAATGTACTGCATTCCCGAAGAAGCCTTAAAACCTCATAATTATACTGAAAAACCCCAAGTGTTAAATTTCATTAGCACCATTTGCTCCATGTCCTGGGGGCGATAGATGGGGGAGGGCGGTGACAGTTTTGGGAGTGAGAGTTAAGTGACTTTGCTTATCCCTGGATCATGATTAATGGTTTAAACGAATGCCTTCTACTCTTACTCACCCGCCAATGCCCATCTACGCTCCCCCCAGCATCTATATATTCCATGATCCAACATTCGCAAACTTAATTTTTTTCATGTCTTAACTGAAATGGCAGTTTTTACTTTCTGTTTCCACTGTTTTGTTGACTCCATCCGTAAGCAGAAACTGTAAGCCCTGAAAAGGGGGGAGGAGGCTGAAATGGAAAGCCCCATCCCCAGTAAGACTGCCAGTCGCTATCCTCCTTTCTTGCCCAGAGAGACCCTCACTATCACTTTTCCTAGTTATGTTCCTAAGACTGTATCTGTGTCTTCCTGGTCCCATTGCTTCTCCTGGCAGTCACCTGCATCCACGGGAGTCCGGTCGTCCTAGGAGGGATTCGCCAAAAGCAGACAAAGGGTTTCCAGCTGTCTTTTTCCCCCATCAGTTCCTATCTCTTTGAGTTCTCTCTCCCTTGCCTCTTATTCTTTCCGATCCCAGTGATCTTTTAAGAGCATTCTGTGAGCAGAATTGTTTTCCTGCCACAGACCATTTGGATTGGGCCTGGACAGCAAGCAGATGGCAGAATGTTTCAGCAATAACAGAGTGGGGCTGGCCCAGATTCCCCGGGACAGAGCACAATGGAGGCTCAGTAATGAAAGAATCTTTTTTGTCATTTTGGCAAAGTCAAGTCTGCAGTTTGTGATTTCAAGAGTCTTCAGCCGGAAACGGAGCACTAGCATGCAGCTCTCTAACGGCTCCACATGGAAACACTCCTAGCTATTCTCATTCTTTATGCTTCCCGGCTTTGATCGAGGCCCCTGTGGTAATTTTTAATGAGTTGATGAGAAGGACGAGTGCCTTAGTCCAGAAACGGCCATGAGTCCATACTGTTTCTACCGGGCCTTTCTCACAGTGCGCTGCTTCAAAACATAGATGGAGCTCACAATGCCTGCTGTTGACAGCTACTACGGTGTGACTGCTGCAGGTGTCACACCTGTCGCCATGACAGGACCGTCTGGCCAATGTGTGCGCAGAGACCGTTGTATCCGAGTTCACTGGCGATAATCTGCATATGCCCGCTTTCCTGACTCCCTGTAGATGCAACAGAGATTTTGACGTTGCTGCATAACTAATGCATTAGTGCATGCATGGGACTAATGTACATTGACTACTCAAGCACGGACGTGAGGAGAGAGAGCAGTCAGGTGGCCTGCTCCTGTCGGAGATCCATACCCTCCCCATACCCCCACAGCTCAATCATCCACATGCTCCTTCTGCTGCTTCCAGCCCAGGAAACTGCTCATACCGCAGCCCCAAGATTTCCCATGATCCTCTTACAGATTGCAGAGTCTTAGCTATGTGATTAGTGAGCTGTACTCTCCTTCCCCGCATCATGCATACGGTCACAGCAGCCCCGGTCCCAGTGAAGAGGCACTGTGGGCCAAAGCTGGACAGTGAAAATGGGCAAGATCGCGGCCTTGGAATGCCGGAATGTTCCACAAGCTAGAACAACCCCCCCCCCCCCCCTTTTTCTGTCTACTTTGTTCTCTGTCTGAGCATGTTTTTGTCAAACCGGCATGAGTGTGTGTCCCTAGCCTAGCCTTGTGCTTGGGATCGCTTGAACAAAGCAGGCCTGGATCTGAAAGCCGGAGACCTCCTGAGCCGAGCCGAGCCGCCCGCGGGACGCCGGGTTTGGATCATGGGCACGTGCCGAAAAAACAAATGGATGAAAAGGGAGCACGGGGGAGAGTGTCGCTGGCAGCAGGTGGGGGCTTCCTGTGCCCACATTCGGCTAAGTCCTTTGTCTTTGGGGATGATCGTGAAGTCCTGCTAGAGTACGCCTTCTTATCGCAAAGGAAGCACTCCGTCAGTGGGAGCTGCTCGTTCTGTATCGAGCACAAACACGGTGGCCTGAAAATCCCCATAAACCGGATTTTGACGGGCTCTTAATATTCCCGACAGAAATAACGAAGCAATTAAATCGGCCGGCGTTCCATCTCGCGCTCGCCCGGGAGCCGTATGGGGATTTCTGTGATGTGACAGCAGATGTTCTGCGGCGGGCAGTGGTGCGGTGACAGCGAGCATTCCTGTTCACTGTCTCCAGCCCCCCCCCCAGCCCCCATTGTCTTTTGACTTCTTCACCGACAGCCAGCTGGCCATTGGCAAGTTAGCTGATGGAGCTGAAACCCAAGTTTGGCACCTGAGACGGAGATCCACATCGCAGGAATCTCGCACGACGGAAGCTCTGCCTCTTGAACCCTCAAACCATCGCATGGCCGAGCTGAGGAATCATCTTTTACCGGCTTTTATGCGCATCATCATGCGGAACCGCACCATCTCCATTTGAAACTCCTGTATTATTCATGCCCATTGCTTTGGCTTTGGCTTTCGTCTGTCTTTGACCCCAATTTGAAATGCACAAACCAGTGCCTCTGTAAGTCGTCACAGGTCTTTCAAAGCGCGAGGCCCCCACAAACTCCGCCGGCGGAGTGCGGAGTAGCACGCGCCTCCTCAGACGCGGTACCTCCCGCCACCGGCTCTCTCCCACTTCTCAGTCTGTGTGTCTCCCTGAGCAATGTGGCGCCCTCGCAGAGAGAGTCTCTCTCTCTCAATTCCACCCACGGCCCGGTAAGCGGTGAGTCGCCTGTGGATAGAGCTGCAGAGTGAGGACGGGGAAGGAGGGAGGGAGGGAGGGGGCGGGAGAATGGAGTCAGTCTCTGAATATGAGCCCATATTTATCCCTGGGCCTCCTCATCAGAGCCGGAGCCACCGTGACGCAGCAGGGGTTGGAGGTGTGTTTCAGCCCTTCAATGCGCCTTAATCCCAGTGATGGGGATTCTGAGGTACAGACAGTTTTAATCAACGTCTTGTTAGCTGGTGCACCTGTTGCCGTCTCATTAAACCAGCCAGTGATCGACAGCACCATACAGTCCCAGCATCTGTGGGTTTCAAAGCCTCATTCCCTCCCCACACTAGTTTAGTTCAGTGTTTTTCAACACGGCCCTCTGGGACCCCCCAGACAGGTCACGTTTTTTGCCCTAACTGGAGCTGCTCCCTCCCTAGGAGGGAGCAAAAATGTGGACTGTCTGGGAGGGAGCAAAAATGTGGACTGTCTGGGGGCCCCCGAAGACCGGCTTTGGAAACACTGGTTTAGACCATTCCGTGGCTTCAGATATTTCTTTGCAGGATATGCGATGGATTGGGCGATGCTTATGTGCCGCTGTCCTCACTGACGGCCCCGGGAGATTAGTCTCCACCAGCTGGAGTTGTGTTTTGGAGAAGCATGCTGCGAGAATGACGGCACGTTTCCGATGCCTATTGGGCCTCGCAGGGGATTCAAAGACGGAGTGCAGGCTACCTGCTGAAGGAGCATCAGACCCTCTGCCAGATCCTACAGTGAAGATAAGTCATTGTGAGACTGCAGAATAACCTCAGCTGCAGTGAGGAGAACATGCTCATGTTTGCGGTGGCGTCGTTGCTGCATTGACGTGCCGACTGCGCTTAGGGTGGCCTGACATTAACCGTGTAATTTATCACCAGGGCAGCACTATGTGCTACGTTGTGCCAGTAGCTAAGACATTACTACAGGCATGCATTTAATCTTCAGCTGGTAAGAGGAGTGCCATTTTGTCCATCCGTTTTCCTTAACTGCTTATCCAGTATAGGGTCACAGCAACCCTGGAGCCTGTCCCAGTCAGCACTGGAGGCCCACTGGACAGGACATCAGGCCATCACAGGCCATCACAGGGCACGCTCTCCCACGCGATGGATGACTTAGAGATGCACCTCAGTGCATGTTTTTGGGCTAGAGCACACACACACACACACGCAGGCAAATACAGGGAGAACACGCAAACTCCAGACCAAGAGCCGGGACAGGAAATGACCTCACAGGCTGGGATGCGGAGTATTTTTTAGTCGTTTTCAGCCCATGAGACTGGTTAATTTGACCTGCTATAGTGAGAAATAACAAAATATGGGGGATAAAATTAAAGTAAAATATCACTTATGTTGTTTTTCAGTGCTAATGGTGAGCTGGCTGGTATATATTTGTGTCAGGAGTCATGTGACTTTGCTGTCTCCTGTGATCTTCGTAGCAGGGTGGCGCGGCGCTTTTCTGGGTCTGGGTTCCGGAGCGTCACGCAGCATGAGCGAGTCGAACTACACGAACGGCGAATGAGCGCCGCGCGCAGGTGTGCGAGATGAAGCTTCTCTCTATCCGGAAATGTCAATTTGCTGCGAGAAAGAGGAGCATGTTTGACGAGCGCTGAGCAAACAAATCAAGGCGGCTTTCCGTAAGACCGTCCCGCATTACTCCGCGTACGGCAGCTCACGTCAGTATAGCAAGCGGGTGTGTAAAAGTCATTTTCGAGTGGCATCTGCAAGCTCCATTTGCGCTTGAATGTGGAAAACGATTTTAGCCGTCTGGTGCCTGATATTCTGTCTGAAGTCTGTTTGTTTTTTCGACTACCTGAGGACCTGCCAGCACCCCCCTACCCTGCCAGAATCTTTCATTTATTCGCATCTACTCAGATTTGAGGAGAAGCGACACTGAAACCTAGTCAAGGGAGAAAATATCTGCCCCAGCTGCCACCGCACCACAAGGGGGCATCTGCTGAAACTTCTCAGTTTGCACTGTGTGCGTGTTTGAGTTGGACTCCTGACTTTGGAGGTGGTGGTCCTTGGAGGTGGTACCCGAACGCCGTCCTCTCTTTTTTACGTCCCTTTCTGCTACTGCTTTACCGCTGCTGATATCAGTCAGCCATTTTTATCGCAGGAATGGTTGCCGCTTTTCCATGACCGGTTTAACTGCGCTGAAATCTCGCACTTTTACATTCCTGTCACCTGGTTGACCTTTAAACCAGGTCTCGTGGTGTATTTATATACGGCCTCTGACTATCTGCTGTGCATTGGAATTCACCGCCGCTTTTCTGGCGATGACCTTGCAGACTTATGGTGCTCCGTGGTCTTTAAGTTTCTTACGGTGCTGCCGGAATGTGAAATGCTCAGTGGGGGATCACAGGCAGATAGCGACACAGCCCTGAATCTACAAACTCTCAATCGTGCTTGATGTCTCCTTGTTTTTTGATATGGAGTTGACCACCCCCCACCCCAAGAAAAAGAAAAAAAAAAATTGGTCTGCTGTTCTTCCAGCTCAATAGCGCGACTGTGTGGCTCGTCGAGGCCAAGCAAGCCACCACTAGTTAATAGGAAGACGTGGGGTCATGCTGCCCTCTGCTGGTCTGCAGTGTAATTGCTCAGTCTGCTGTCACCTGTCCATTTGTTAGCCAGTCTAGAGCTGACATTAATCAGCGATCGCGGATACGCCGTGCAGCGGGGATGTGAGAGTCGCACCGATGGGCCACGGCGACAGCTCTCAGGATTTAGGTGAATAAAAACTACACTTCGCACGCAGAAGGAAGCACACGCCTACACACACATGCACTGCGAGTACTGCGGCGTGCCTGGGCTCCTTCTGCGCCGCTGAGTTCTGTGTGTTCCGTATGAGGGTGATGACTGACGACTTACCCGGTTCTGCACGCCGGTCCTGGCCCGTTCCTGTACTCTCACGTTGTCAGTCAGCCGTAGCCAATCGCTCTCAACATTTCGGTCCGATATTTATTATATCTGTGGAAAACGTTGCTACTACAGTTGCAGTGTGCCTTTAAAATAATCACATGCAGAATATATATTTAAATAAATTTAAACACTAAGTGAGCCATGCATCATTTCCAGAACTCTACGCAGAACAAGTGTTAGGGTGGCATTAAATCATATGTCCACTCGAGGGGGCCTGGAAGAAGAAATTAGCCCCCAGTTTCTCCAATTTGATGAGTTCTACCAGGACCATGTAGGACGATGATTCCTAGACCATGTAGGATGATGATTCCCCCATGTGAACAGGAACAGCACATCCTGGTCCACCCTCAGCAACATCCACGCACATACAGACCTTCCTAAGCATTCACAGCCCTCAATTACTCACCCACACACAGCCTGAAAAACATAGAGCTCCTTTGTCCATTACGAGAGGATAAGCAGACCACTTAGCCCGTTATTCAGACTAATTTTGCACAGTGAGCTGGCATTTAGCTGCCAGTAGATGGCGATAGAGCCAGCTGTTCCCCGTCTACACTGAATGTGTCAGATAGGCAGACATGTGACAACCAATATTATTTACTGAATTGCAAGCACAAAAATTAAGATATTACTTATGGAGTCATCAGTGAGTGAAATAAAATGAGACTTTCAGAAACAATAATTTGGTTCTGACGACTTTCAGTGTCTTGAAACCACATATCCATTCCTGGTCGATATGATGTCATGTACATGCTGTCCTCTGGGGGCGGGGCTCCATGCTGTCCTCTGGGGGCAGGGCTCCATGCTGTCCTCTGGGGGCAGGGCTCTATGCTGTCCTCTGGGGGGGCTCCATGCTGTCCTCTGGGGACAGGGCTCTATGCTGTCTCCTCTGTCCCAGGCGCATCACAGGTGTTCTCCTGCTCTTTTGCCAGGGTGCTGTGATCACACCCGCCATGGAACACACCATGTCCATGCAGCCGGCCAGCCTGATTGGGCCCCTGACCCAGCAGATGAACCACCTCTCTCTGGGCACTACAGGAACTGTGAGTATCACGCTGGAGATAAACTGCGTGACTGTCTGGCAGCCCGTTCCTCCACACCTGCAGATGAGATATCCTGGATCTAGCTCTGGCTCTGGTCCTCACGGGGCACTTTCTGGGGTCACGTTGACCCTGCGGCTCCTGGCAGGTTGCGTTAGAGAAGGGCGGCGGAACAGCTGTTTAATGAGAGCTGGGCTTTCTGTACCTCCAGCCAGACATTGACTTACATCTGCTTCTGTCCAAATAATTATTCAACAGAGTAATTAACAACTGCGGTAGAGTAAAGAACAGCATGCACTGTTTCTCCCAAGGAGCACCTGACCCCGTCCATGTTCATGACTTTCTAAATATTATTAAGGATGAACTCACCTTCAGCACATTTGGTCTCTCCACAGTGTTTGTGGGTTTTATGAGCTTTGGGTCGATCTGAATTGCTTCTGAGTAAGCTGAGCCGGGGTGGGCGACGCCTATTCGATGTTATGAAGCGGGCGACGTAGCTATGGTTCAGGGAAAGGCTCGGTGGCACCACACAAACATCAGGCCGGGCCTGCCGTCTCGCTGAGCGGAGAAGTTAATGAGAAGTGGACCACGGGCACCTGCTGTTTGGCTTACGCTGTGGAGACTTACGTGGTTGTAACGCTGCTATTCTCGCAGGCCTGTTCGCCTTACTCCCGCTGCCGGTTTGATAGGATGCCAGGTTTGGCTGCGAGTCTGATCCAAATGTAAAAGCCCTCAAGAATCCTCAGAGCATCCAGAGTATCTGTGGAACCGCGTCCCAGCAGCTGTGCCCCGTTCCTGCCTCCTTATACGCCGCCACCGGAATACAACCGCGATTCCCTGGGGCTGTGACTCCCTTGGGCTGTGACTCTGTGAGTCTCCAGAAGGCTCTACTGCCATATTCTTCTACTTGCCTTTCCAGTGAAAGGACCAGAAGAAAGCTGCAAAAAGGGAGCTGTTCTTCTTTCCCCATGCCTCTCTCTCCCTCATTTCCCGTTACACCTTCACCTCCCATGCCCCACCTGGGAAGCTGATGTTCCTTCAGCATTGCCGTCACGTCCAAACGGGATGCCCTACTGGGCTCCGGAGCTTGTTCTATCCTTAGCGGTCCGCTGGCGCTCCCAGGGACCCGCGATGCTGTCTGCTGTCCGCTCACCACACCGATCATGGGCTATTTTGTTGTTACGGAGCCATGACCTTCGGAGAGCAGCCGCTCCTTCCCTGTGCGGAGAGAGCAGAAGAAGAGGCTTCTTTATACAGTATGACTGTCCACCGTCAGTAAGGGGGAGGAATCGAGCCCTGAGCCGGAGAGAACAATAAGCAGTCTGATCTGATGGAGAACATACTGTACGGCCTAAGGCAGCCTCACCAGCTCCTGTTTAATGTGTGATGGTGGCAGCCATCCTCTCACCTTGTCTTTCAGTCTGAGGACGTCCCTGCCCCCCCCCCCCCCCCCCCCCCCCCCCACACACACACACACACACCCTGTTGCTTGTTGTTCCTTGATACCCACATATGGTGTTGGCCCCCATGCATACAGTTGTCAGAGGTGCACTGTTGCTTAGCAAGGAGCCTCCCTGTGTCCTCCTAGCGCAAGAACCTGTCGCAGCCTGGGACTCGTTTTAACCCCCCCTACCCAAATCCGGCTCTGGCCGAATAGCCCGTGCTGTCTGGACTGGCTTCCCCCCTTCCTGCCACCCCTGTGTTTGCAGAAGAAGGTGTTCTAATCCCCTCCTTAGCTCAGGTTGTTTCTGCAAGCTGATGTCAGTAAGGTTGCTTAGAGCTTAGTTAGTTAGGTGGTTAGTTAGGGGCCGGTCTCAAGAGATCTCTTCTGTAACTTTGCTTGCATCTGCTGTGACCTCTCTTATACACTGTTTCCATAGGCACCTATGACAGACAAACACACAACAAAAGAAAGATGGTGGATTTCACATGTAGCCATTAACAACCTACTGTATCTATATTGGTTTTGGTTGGTTTGCTTAGTTACCGAGCCCAAAAGTCACCCTATTTTATTTGTAAAAGAGAATTAATGACAAGCAGCTCAGCCAATAGGAAATTTCCTCCTTCCACCAATGACAACACTTCTGTCCATTTAAAGACTAAGAAAGCTTCATTGAAACTGGTTGGTCAATGGCAGCTAGATCTTTTCTCCTCTGCTGTATCGACCTTTGAAATTTCCTTGAAGCCAAGCCAGCCTGTGCCTCTTGGGTGGTGGGCCTGTATGTGAAGACCTCACCCAGGTTCCACCCAGAGGCAGGAAGGCAGCCCTCTGATCTTCCACAGCCTCGCAGCGGGGGTGTGTGGATGTTTCTGTACTTGGGTGATTATTTTTAGTGCGCGGGGGGACCATTCAGATCTCATACCCTGACTTTAAGATCCACACAGCAGCAAAAACAGGAATTGTTTTATTCAGAAATAGTGCAGGTTCAGGAAATGTCATTTCTGCAAGATGGGAAAATGCAGAGAAAACAACAGGGGAAGCGGATGGGTGGGGTGGGGGGGGTGGGCATGTGTGTGGCTCAGCATGCTGAGGTGAGAGAGGACAAAAAGCGGAATATTAACAGTGATCAATGCAGGGGTGCCCTGAAGTCTCTAAGCCACACCCCCAAACACGCACTAAGCCCCCCATACATACACCGGCATTTCCACAGGCGATATAAAAATCTGCATTTTTCCGTCCATATTTTTTTCTCGTCCTTCCAACTTGGCTCCAGAATGGTCTCCTTGAAGCTGCCGTTTCCCGTGCCCTTCTGCTCCTGCCATAATGCGCTTTTCCCTCCTGATACGGATGCATTCGCCCACCGTTTGCAAACTACAGTAGTGCGGCCCGGAGTCGGCTCTCTGCCGGCGCCGCCACAGGGGGGGGTCCGGCCGCCAACAAACCGTAAAGGAAATTGCTGCTGGCGGCTGTGGGGATATGTGCGCTGTTACCGAAGGCAGTAACAGCGAGGCCGTGAGTGTGGCCTCCAAACACCATCAGAACGATTCATCCAATGATCCCAGGCTTTGTTTTTTCTGAGGCCGAAGGGCAAGTATCATGGGACACCAGTATAACTACCGAAATCTATTTTCTCCTGTCTGTAGTGCAGCTGTGTGTCTGTGACCGCGCAGAACATCTGTAGCTCAACGTTAAATTCCTCCGACTGCATGCTCTGCTTGGTGTGACAAATGAAAAAAACCGTGCGACTTGTGAGTTTGTAGGTATTTTGTTTCTAGGTATTTGAGTTGGCAGTAACGTGCTGTCAATGTGCAGGATGTCCCTGTGAACTGTCTCACATCGTATTACTGTACGAGTAACTGTAAACAGGATAACACGTCTTATAGCATTACTGCCATATTTATGTTCTTTAAAATCACAATATAATGTTACCAGTGGAAACGTCTAATGCTCACAAACAGAATTCAGGTTCACTGGAACTGGTTTTATAGTTGCACGACGAAAAGCAAGGTGGGTCGTCCCGACCAGACTGCCAGGTCTGTTGGAAACAGGCAGCTGCCTGGGTTTGGGTCCACTGACTGCACGGGGGGGGGTTCTGGGATTTGGGGGGAACTCAAGTGCCGTGGAACTGGAATCAGCTAAAAGGGACTGGAACAAAAACCAAAGATACAAAAACCAGGATTATGAGCAGGAAGCTGAAAGACAAAACTTGATAAATAGATTATGAAACGAAACCTTCAAACACATCAACCGAGACGAGACAGGAGCATAAAGTCTCAACAAGACTGACCGCCGAGCAAAGCTGACTGCTCAGTTTATATCGAACCTGGGGCTTGTGGTTTTAATTAAGTCCCTGGGGACACGATTGTATCGCGTTGGTCCATGTTGCTGAGTTGTGAGCGATCCCCAACTCACCACTGCCCCCTGATGGCGATGTCTCTGTGTTGCAGTACATGACCGCTGCGGCCGCAGCTGCACCTATGCAAGGGACGTACATTCCCCAGTACACTCCTGTGCCTCCTTCCGCCGTCCCAGTCGAAGTAAGTGTGCTCAGCCGACCTCTGCCCTCTGACCTTTCACCTCTCCCATACCTGCCATGTTTGGCAAGGGCAGCCAGCAGCCTCAGCTTGACCTCACAGGCATCTCACCCAACATGAACAAAGTCTTTTAAGGAAATTTTGTTTGCGTTTCCATTTACATGATAACTATATATTGAGGTTATGTTCTCAGACAGTTGCTGAGGTGACTCTCCTAAACTTTGCTGTTAAAGAAGAACGTTTTAAGCGTGACAACAGCGAGTATCTCTGGAGGATTGCTGAACAATCCCCCCAACATAACAACTCTGAGGAAGTGCTATTCTGTTTTACTTGGTCTGGTTTGTAAATCAGCACCACCCGGCTGTTCCTGGCGTAACAAAACTGCAAGCTCTGCTGCCCCCCCCCCCGGAATACCCTGACGTTCTTCCATCTGTGGGAATATCTTTATGTGTCTTCATGTCTCATCTCCATGGAAACATTGTAGTGCTCTTCCATCTCTGTGGGGATGTGTTGGTGCTTTCTCGTTATGCCTCAGTCAAGCCAGTAGGGGGCACTGGCATAGTGTGCCATAGTGTTTACTGATGACAGCTTTCCAGGTGGTGCCGTGGCTGTCATGACCTTTGCTATCAGACAATAAAAATAAATTCTTTTTTTCTGAACAATGAAGAGAATCTTGTTTCAGTCACCTTCTGTCAGCTGTTTTGGTCTCTGGTGCACTTCCTGTCTCTCCGCTTGGGGAGTGGAGTCACTTGAACACACTCTAGATTACCCTACTGTTGTGGCTGGCAGTCCACTAGTGGCCACACCAACACTCCCAAAGTGCTTGTTGTTTAGGGTGACCAGATAATCCATGTCAGGGAGGACACTCTGAGCTAGGACAGGATTTGTAAACTACCATTTCAATTAAAAGGACCTGGATTTCACTTGAGCACTGAGTTCTTACTGTGTGCTAATTGGTCAGTCTCCTATAATCGTGCATGTGCTACTAATGCTAATGTGGAACAGCTGGATGAGTCTTTCAATCAAGGGCACAAACCAGTCAAAGCACGAGAAGAGCTGAACTAATTAGCCGAGCACAGGAGCCTTTCAGTTTGAAAGTAGTTTGTAAAACCCAAAGTAGCTCAAAGTGTCCTCCCTGACATGGATTATCTGGTCACCCTATTGTTGTTCCACGTGATCTAAATATTTAGTTTTCTTCACTTACATCATACTGAGACTCTATTACAGTGTGAGAGGCTGTATTAGATGTTCAGCCGCATGTACCACAGCTCTAAGGGAGAGGGTTCCTTAGCTTCTAAAATAGAACCATAAACCCAGGCAAAAACAGCCCTTGCCAGGAAAAAACTATTTTAGGTAAAAGGTGCTGCCCTCTAGCAGATGGAAGGGCTCATAACAAATGTACTGTAAGCCAGATGCACATAGTCCCTGCCAGGCAGCATTACCTGATAAGGCACACTGACAAAGCTCAGACCAACATGCGATGTTTCTCAGTAACGGTTTAGCGAGAGACAGGTGCAGAGCCTTAAAAAAGCATAGCAAGCCATCCCAGAATAATCTCACGGGAGTCTTATGAAGCTCTCCTATAAGAAGGACACATTTCCCATGATTCCTGAGTGATTATAGTCCCTTTTTAAGGGAAACTTGGTAGGGCTTCACTTTTCTCAGTGCAGGACAGGTAATCGTATAAGTTTGGGGGAGAAGTGACCCCCATGATCTCGTCCCTGTGCAGGGAGTGGTGGCGGATGCCTCGCCCCAGACGGTGGCCCCCTCCTCGCAGGACGCTGGCGGTACACAGCCCCCACTGCAGGTGGAGAACGCCACTGATCACGCGTCCGTCTACTCCTACCAACAGTCGAAGTGAGTATTTGCAAACACACGGGTGACGGATATGGGTTGCCAGATCTGAGCCCAGAATCAAAAAGCCATCTGCACGCTACTCCGCTTGATACTTCATGACATGGCAACCGAGAGCATCCCTCCCACCCCAGGCCTGGTTCATTTATTTGCCGCCATAGCCCAGCTCCCATCGCCGGTGATGCAAATTGGAATCGACAGCTCCCTTAATTAGCGCTGGCATGCCGGAGAGCCGCCCCCCCCGGCCCCCCCATTGATCCCGGCTGCTGTCTCGCTAACGAGACGTGATGCACAGCAGTCATGGTGACCTTCACTTTACCCGCTTCCATTACACTGTCACAATGGTTTACGCTGCGATTTATTTAAAGGTGCCAAGGTCGTTCCCCCGCTATCGATTAATACTTGACTTTGATATTTTAATTTAACACGCCTCTGGAGCAGAGGCACCGTTCCAGGCTTAGCCCCTGTGCCCTGTACAGTACTCCATCCTGGGTCTCGAACCCAAGACTTTCAGGTTATGATTAACTCATTAGCCACTGTAGCTCCTGCCATCCAATCACAGTGCTCAAACTCGGAGTCAATGACTTAACTAAAACAAAAAAGACTAATTTTAGGCAACATGTATAAAAGTTTCCAGATATTAATTATGAAGCAGATTAGGACCACTGAGCTTTCCTTTAGCAAAGAAATAGGTTTACTTTGTCCCTGTGACCCTGCCCAGAATCACTAGTTAGAGGATGGATGGATGGATGGATGGATGGATGGATGGATGGATGGATGAATATGGTTATTTTCTGTGTCATACTCCACTTTATATCATATGGTAATTCATTCTACTAAGAAGTCGCCTTTAACTGCTGTCTCTCCCTCTCCCCTCCCAGATAACACGGGACAGAGGGGCATTACCTGGGACTGCATTGCCTTGAGTTGGGGGGAGGGGGTGCTGGGGAGGGCTGCACTGAGACTGAGGCTGCACAGCCCCCAAAAGGACACTTCTTCATTTTCCACGGGGTCCCGCCAAGGAGGTTTGTGACGGGCAGAGCCGTGAGCTGCAGTCTAGTAGCCTGAAAGCCTCAAAAAGGCTGAATTTTTTTCTTCACAAAATTTCCTGAATAAAAAATAGAAAATATTAAAAAAAAAAAAAAAAAAACGTGCTGGTAGGTCTCAGAGGCGGTGAGGTTTTTTAAATTAGGAGAGGAAGCCAGTTTGAGAAAAGTTGTCTTCCTCTGATATTAAACTACTCTTCCTTTTCATTTTTTTATTACTTGTGTTAAACTTTAGTTTTCTAGAGAACTTTAGCTACGTTTTTTTTCTTGAATCTTTATTGCCTTAATTTCAAGGACGTCAGAGACTTTTCCAGAAGCGATCAGTCACACGTCTTGTTAAAAAAAAAAAAAAATCTAATGAATGAAAGTCGCTTGGACCAATTGAATGGTACAAGATATTAAACAGAGATGAGCTGAGAAGAGAGAGATTGAAAAAAAATATTGAATAAGCTGTACAGATTTAATAGAGAAGATGTTTCTTTGTTAGAAGTGAACTTTATTCATCAGTGGCAACCAGGAAGCTTATCGTGGGGCGGGAGGGAGGGGGGGTGGGGAACGAAACGGCCATCTTGGAAAAGGGGACTCAGAGATTTCCAGAACAAGGAACAGTTGCAGCGTCGGCAGAATTTGGCCTCTGTTGCAAAGCGTGCAGAACATGTTTCTTCTTTTTTATGTTTGTTTTTATTTCATTTAATGCGGCAGAATTGCTATTGACGGCATTAGTGCTTTTTACCCGCAGCCTTTTTTAAGAGCTATATGATGTTTTTAGCCTGTGTTGCTTGTCACATTGCAAAAAAAAAAGAAAAAAAAAAAACTTATGAAAATAAATAAAAGCTAAAGGAATTGAAAAAAGCTAAATCAGCAAACTGCAAATGTAGATAGAAGCTTATGGTTAAAACCAATTTGTGCAAAAGCAATAGCTAGAAGAAATTGTTGACAATTTCTGTAGTTTTTCTTAGTTGTGAATCAAATGCAGGCTGTGGATGGCCTATTTTATACCAAAGATGAAGAAACACCCAGAAGCTGAGGAGGAGAAAGAGGTTTTTACTTTGTTAGGTATTTTTTTATTATTATTTTGTTGTTCTCCTTGTTCTCCTTGTTGTCGGTGTTCCTGTTTTTTTTACACCTTGACCTAGATGGCCGGACCAGAGGCTCGTTTCCTTTCTAGGTGTATACTACCTTCCACTGGCGGTTTGTGGCGATGGCACCGGGCCCTGAGTCCAGCAGAGCCAGAGTATAGCCAGAGTATAGCCAGAGTACAGCCGGGTGTGGACGGAGTGTGCTGCTTTTGGGGGGGGGGGGGGGGGGGGGGGGGCGGAGAGGGGGGGGGGGGGG